GATTTACGGATCACTCCTTGGTCCACCAACTGCTGAATCTCTGCCGTGATCATGCGTCGTTCTTCCGGAGAGAAACGCTGTTGCTTGGCTGCGAAAGGTGTGCAAAACTCGTTGTTCAGAGGAAGCTCAAGCTCACCGTTGATGCAAGCCGGCACTCGCTTCGGGTCGATCGGAAACAGGCCGTCCTCGATGAACGCTGCGAGGACGTTGACGAGTTGCTGCTGCTTAAGCGACCCCAGCGTCCCCAGGTTGGCGTCCTCTACGCGAACACGCGGGATGGATTCCCCATCAGGTGGGGACGGGCTCGGGGCGCGCGGTTCACGGGGAGGCAGGGGCGGGTCGGCAAAAGAGGGGGCGGCGTCTAACAGCGAATCGAAAGCCGGCTTGTCGCGAACGTTGAGTGCTACCATACGAGCTATCACCCGACTGCCACCTTTTCCTTACTACGGTTTACCAACTTGCAGTATTCAGGCGACCCCGGAACCCACCACATCACCGCACGAGCTACTCCCACTACAGCTCCCTGCTCTAAATCAAGCCGCTCGGTCGGCAAGACCATCACTAGCTGCCTGTCCTGCGGTTGTGGTCCCACAGCCGCAGCTTCCACCGCGCGAGTGGTGAAACCCTCGACGACGGTATTCTCCGGAACTTGTCGCACGTCCCACTCGAAGGAGGTGTCGTCCCCCCACACCACGTCCTCGTAGCTGGGCACAATTGTGGGAACGGCGGGCACTTCGGGGGCGTTCTCGGAGGTAGCCGTCAGTAGACTAAACTGGTCCCGAGGGTTGCGGAGGGGGCTTGCAGCATGGGAGGCGTATGGTGCAATCGACAGAAAAGGCACCCAGGGTGCTGCTGGTACAAGCCTAAAGCCTCTGCTGGAGCTGAAATCGAGCACGCTAGCATTCCGCCGAAAGAAGTCTGCTCCCACAATCAACCCGTATGGCAACTTCTACCACCCGTACGTCTCTCATCGCGCATCGCCGTCAAACAACACCGGCAGTGCTACGGATCTTAGCATACGCATCGGAGGGGTATCACTGTCGCGAGGGGTGGCAGCTTCGAGGGCCCCTGCACCTGATCGTTTGGAGAGGACATCGCTGCTAGTGCGAGACAGACCAAGAAGGAATAGTGTGAGATTCAAGGCGAGGTCAGCGAGCAGGAGTAAACAATAATACGAGCATACACGACGAGGAACTCAAAGGGAACAGCAGTTGCAATGATCGAAAAGGGGGAATAGTTTTTGAAACAACAACAAAAATTGGAAATATGATACGAAATACTGGTTCAAGTATACAATGGATACCACCTATGCGGCAGAAAGGCAAGTGCTCGCGCGCAGAAACAGCGAGTGTCGCGAGGCGTAAATATTGAATGCAGAAAGGCGACAAATAATCACGAAACGGTGGCGTGCTCTCTGCGCGCCAAAGAAACGATGAGCTCAGGCAACAGCAGTAGGTGGGATGATGCGGTCGAACAAAGAGAGAGGTGTCTGTATTTCGATGCATTTATGAGGACGACAGCTCCATGCTTCGTACGGCATACCCACCCAACAAGAGAAATAAAAAAACTACACCTAAAAAAAACAAAATGAAACGAACACAAGCGAGCAAAACTCTGGACGGCTTTAATCGAGATATGATCGAGCGTTAGGCGCCGCGTTACCAGAAGGTAGGGTGGGAAAGAGAGGTTACATATGAGAGGCCCACACACCAAAACAGCTCTCTCTCTGAAACCACAGTGAGTGGTCAACAGGTCGCTGCCAAATGTGACACTAGTCCAGGGAGGAGAGGTCACGAGGATGATCCCAAACATGCACAAGGTTCAACCACTAGCAAGCAGCTCGACTCGGGGTCTTCGGTCTTACGCACGTTTTCACACGATCATCATCGTTTCTGGCTGCCGCACGGGTGAGTCTCCTGCTGTGGAGCCGCAAGTGCGAGAGACACGACCCATCAATGAACACTCATTCCGATCAACCTGGTAGTTCAGCTGTCCAGTGGCAACCAGCTATCCACGCGGGTACAGAAATAGCTATTATTGCGGTGGTGCCAACGGGCAGAGGAAAAATGCAAGAACCCCGAGCTCTCTACCTTCCCTAACAAAAGTATGCAAAGGCGCATGGACGCATGCATACACATGTCAGCCATGAACAGTGTAAAATGCGCGCCGAAAAAAAACACAGGAACCACGAGTACTCTTGGCCAGGCAGGGTATAATGGGTGTGTGCGCGTTCGGCGGACGGCTGCAGCACAGGGGAACACATGGCACAAGCAAAGGGTGTGTTCACGCCGGAGCGCGCTGATTGAGACAACCCGCAGGCCGTTGAAAGGCGAGCGCATGACAGGAAAGAAAGGAATAAGCGCCAAAACGTGCCAGCGAGAGGAAATAAAAACAGAGGGACGCGAAAGGGCCTGCAAGCCACACGGCTACAGCATGACGAGCGCATCTACGGCTCGTCGACAGCAACGACACGAAAGGACACAATATGACGGAAGGAGAGGCCAGGGAGGGGCGGGTCCTATGTCTATGTGGGTCCGTGTGGTCTCTAGCCATTCAAGTGGCAGGACCCTGGGTGTCGAGAGGATTTGTCCAAAGAAATGTACATGGGACCCCAGCCTACAAGCACTGCTACCGACCTGATGATAGCAGCCTCTTGATCGGTACCGAGTTCGGTAGATGAGCCGGAACAGCGGTAAACAGACTTGCGGGAAAAATGGGAACGTACCCAAAAATGAGAATGGGCGTTTGTTTTTAGAAAGCAAACCACGCCTTTGCAACTCCCCCCATAAAAGTTGACAGTGCTGTAGGTCTTTACAGCAGCTTTCGAATGAGCTGTTGCTCAAGCTGTATGTCCTCGGCATCGCCGAGGTAGCCAGCATCGCGAGAAATCAGGTCGAAACCAGCACGAATCGCTTTTTGCGCCCGTGAGAAGGCGTGATGTGGAGCATGGCGGTTCTGATGAGCTCATCTCACAGCTGGGGCGAAGGGGTTTCGCAGGATAATTTTGGTTCTGTGATACACCCGATGGTTCGGAAGAAAAACGCCAATTCTCATTTTTGGGTACGTTCCCATTTTTCCCGCAAGTCTGTTGGTCGGTAGTATGAGCCTCGAAGGTGGCTTGTGAGAAGGAGTAGAAGGTCTCCGGTCGTGGATACGGTATTCGCTTTTTGACTATTGCTAACTCAGGGCAAGCAAGGAGAAGAGAAGGAGGAGGCAAGGGGACTGAGCAATCTAGCTCCAGACGGGGCCTAGTTCGATTCTCGGATTGGACACTATATAATAGAAGGCTTGGGATAGGGGCGGGTCCTATGTCTATTTGGATCCGTGTGGTCTCTAGCCTTTCAAGTGGCAGGGCCCTGGGAGTCGAGAGGAACTGTCCAGAGAGGAATGTACATGGGACCCCAGCCTACAAGCACTGCTACCTGTTATGGAGGAACAAGGAAATAAAAGGGAAGGGAGCAGGTTTGTTTGCTGCTCCTTGCTGGCTCACTCACAGTTGTTGTTGAATTTCATGTTTTATCCTCTTCATACCTAGCCCGCGTTCCGCGCTCACAAGCCGAGAGTAAGGACGGGGGGCTATAATCTTAGGCACAGCAACCAACGAAAATGCACAATATCCATGTCATTATCTCATGATCATACAAGGCTCATACACTACTTGCTCCATTACATTAGCCCACCCTGGGAAGTCGTATATGCAGACAATCTATCCTCAAACCACACTCAGATTTAGATAGAGATCGAAGGTGCGACTTTCCATATGAAACACAAAAAAAAACAAAAGCAACTCTTGTCGGAAAAAATAGTTGTCCCCGACAAGCACACAAAAAAAAGAAAAGCAACTAGTGTCGGAGAAAAAAGTTATCCCCGACAAGTACTTCAAACCATCAAACCTTCCCCACACCACACATGTGATGACTACCAAGAATCACAACGCAGACGACAAGGTTCCAGCGGGAACTGATCGCGGCGGGTCCGGTCGTAGCAAATGTGGAGACGACAACCCCTATTTCGGCGCTAAAATAATCCAGCTCATACCACTCAAACACGCGCCAGCGTAACATAAGCGTACCATGAACGAGACAAAGCGCCAAATATCAGAAGAAGAGAGGGAAACGAACGCCATGATTTGAAGGCGGCATAGCAAACAAAGCATAAATATATAGTCTATTATATCTTGAATCGTCCCGTGAATCACCGACTTGAAACAACAGACAGGTGTTGAAAGTCGCCTAAAGTCCGGTCCATCGTTTCCCATCAGGAAACAGCGGCTAGGAGACAAGTTTGCTCGCCAGCCGCTCTTCGCCCTCGTCTTGCACGTCCTCAGCTTCGGTCACGTCAACCGCGAAAATAAATGCGCATGTTCCTGCCATTCGCAAAATGTTCGCGCACTCGGACAAGGACTTCGGAGAAGAAGAGAGCAAGAAGGCAAGTACGTGACCGGCAACGGTCTAAAAGTTATCTGCGCTCACTGATTACCCGGCCCAATAGGGAGGTTCAGAGTGAGCGTAGGCCATCGATACGTTTGCTTGGAAGTCTTACGTGCGGGCTAGGCAAACTACACATTGCCGAGTCCATCAACGAATAGACACATGCATATCAATTCACCAGAAAAGAACGCTCCAACATACATAAAGTCCGAGCGGTGTCCAGGTGGAAAGACGTGGTAGCGTGGCATGCTCGCAGAACCCAAGGCCACAACAACATGGGCACGTGTTTCCGCGGAGTCTTCGAATAGGTTTCAGGCAACACCGTCGGGGATCCCAAACATCGAAAATGTATATGCCGCCACACACTCGGTTTCCGACAGCTGTTAGTTCTCGGACATAGTGTTCGAACGAAACGAATATATTGGCAGCCGCAGTGGTGCCAATGGTGGACGAGAGACAGACGTCTGGCTGCTCAGAAGGAAGAGCCGGAGGAGGTCTAACGACCACTGGTCCACTAAGACTGAACTATTGTACGGGAGCACACAGAAAGACACGATATTCCGCCAGACCAACATTGGGGGGCGGACTCAGACGTCAGCATCGCCACATTGGGTCCAAAACGACGGAAGTATCGTATTTACATACTCCTTGGAATGGATGAGCCCACCCAAGCCAATGCTCTGCATCAATAAGAGTGGTTCCATAGCTCCGTGGAAGCGTACTCGAGCCACCGCGGCGGGCTTGAGGCTGTCCCGAAGGTTCCTGAGCTCCGACGAGGTTGACTAGACCACTCAGAGCTGCCGAAACGGTGGGAGGCGCGGAAGCCATGCCTCCAGAGGGCATAGACATCGGGGCGAGCGTCCGTGAGAATCCCGACGTCTTATCGTTCCCGCGCCCACACCACAAGGCTGTAGTCGGCACCGACAAATCACGACGGTCGCCCAAAACAAGTTGTGATGAGGCGCGGGGCGATATATATCTGAGAAACAAAAGGTTGGAAGTCCAACACATACCTGTGAGGACGATACGTGCAAAAGGCCATCGCTGTTGTACCACGAAAATGCGAGGTTCCGGAATTCCGCGGGCGCGGGGTTCCAGCGATAGCGGTGGACGCTGGGGCCGCGGCGACACCAGCGGCCGGTACCGGGAACGGGGTGTGTGCGTCCGAGTTGCATCTCCCAGAGCGGTGGCCTTCGCCCGATGGATGGTTACCTGAGCCACCTCATTTTTCGCATGCGAACGATAGAGCATCATGCGGTATGGCCAACGGGAAACACGCCAGCACTACTTCATGCGAGGTTATGACTAGGGTTCTAAAAAATCCTGTGAACTCGTGAAATTGCCCGCAGTTGAGATCTTTGCCAGAAAATTGCCGCAAGTCTGCAGCCGCAGCCATACATCAGCGGCAGCGATATAGCGGCCGCGACTAGCAATGGCAGCAGCAGCAGCAGCATCAATATCAGCAACGCCGGAACAGTAAAACAAGCAGCGGTGGTGACAGAGGCAAACACGTCACCTTCGGAAACCAACCGCAGATGGAAAATTATCCGAGAATTACTTCCTGCAGCCATGACCAGGCACGCTCTTTCTTTGCGCTACCGGTGCTTTGTGCTCTTCACCCTGCATCATAGAGCAGTCACTTTTGTACTGACAGCGAGTAGCAGACATCATCCGCAGCATGTAAGCATGCATGTGCAGGCAGCATCCACGGCCGCCGGTCCAATCTCCTGGCTCTGCTCTGGGCGGAGTTTAGTCGGCCTAAAAGTCTCTGGCCGTGGTCAAAAAAATAGTTAATTGTTGCCGTGAGACCACCACCATGAGTCATGATGTATGGCCAGCAACGCTGAGCAGGTGTCACGGAAACACTCCGTGACAGATTCCTTTCTCGTCCGCATCCTGTCAATAAAAGAAATGAGAGAAATTGCACAATAAACGCGCAGCTCCGGGAAGCAAAACATTGTCGCATTCGACCACCACTGTCAATCGACCACTCGGCAGCATTATTTGTGGCCGCCAATGTGGGCCACAGTCTGTCGGTTAAGCGACCATTCGGCAACTTTCCATCATCAGGGCTGAGCTCGGGGTGTTCCCACAGAAACACCAGGGTTGAGCTCGAGGTGTTCCTACAGAAACACCAGGGTTGGGCTCGAGATGTTCCAACAGAAGCACCGGTGTTGAGCTCGAGGTGTTCCAACAGAAACACCAGTGTTGAGCTCGAGGTGTTCCGACAGAAACACCAGTGTTGAGCTCGAGGTGTTCCAACAAAAACACCCCGCGTCCGAATGTTTTGCTCTCCGTGTCTCCGATCTCCAGGCAAGAAATACTTGTACAGTATAGACTATATAGACCATGTTGCCAATTGCGCCAATGCGCAACCACGGATGGCAGCAGACAGATGTGAAATAATGTCACGCCAGCTAAGCGGCCGGTTGGCAGCTTCCCGTCACCATGTGGACGGGTAGACACGCATGACAGATGCCAAGACTGTTCCCTCGACCTCGACGTGTGCACAGAAAACACACACCCGCGGCCGGTTTATTGTCCGATCGATTCCCCTGTAGCAAAGCAGCGCGGTGAGATAGATTGCAGCAAATTGTACGACCTACGTACGTACATGCTGCAGTGTAGCAGACAGCAACATGCCACGGCAGGCCATCAAGTGGCCACTCAGGAGCAGCATGCCATCGCCATTATTTCGATGGCATGATCAGATAGGCACGGGGCTTGCCACGGAAGGGATAGGAAGGAAAGGGTAGTCTGTACGCACGAGCAAAGGTCACGTTATTGCAACCAAGGTAGCATGGACGAGGCTGTTCGTGTGTCTGGATACGAGCGTAGATCTGCTAGCAGCACGGGGGGGTACGTAGACAGGAGCATGCGTATGCCTGAAAAAGGCTACTACGTGTGGGCCCCCTTCCCCGAATTCGGGAGGGCCACTTCTTCCCTTCCTTTCCTCGCTCCCGCGAGTGCCTAATCAGAGAGAGTCAAAGCGTGTCTTCTCCTCCCAAGTACGGACATACCAACATACTAGTGTATATTTCCTCGAGGGAGTCCATTAGGGATGGCGGGCCGCAGAACCGGAGGGACCACTCCGGACGGCTCGCAGGCAGGAGACACAAATAGCAGCGAGCAGATCGACAGCATGCGGTCTGAGATCAGTTCGCTGACACAGCAAATGCGCCAGCTGGTGCAGCTGGTCGGAGGACTTGCTGCACGTATAGAGGAGAAGTCCGGCGGTGCCACGGAGGGCGCCGCTGAAAGCGGCGGCGCCGTGGAGAGCGTCGCCACAAGCACTGCAGGTCATTTTGGGACCGTGCAGTACGACGGGAGCGCGCAGGCAGCGGACCTGCGAAAAGAGTCTGGTCCTTCGGGACGACACAGCGGCGAAGTAGGGGGTTCAGACCCCCAAGAGGTGAGAGTAGCCGCTGCTCACAATCAAGCTTGTTTCAGCAGCGCCATGGGAAGTGGTGCTGCTGTCTTCGGTAGTGCGAGCGTGGGATACC